ATTCAGTCAGATGCAATGTTCTCACACTGCAAGGAAGAAGGTTAAACAGCATGCTCAGTTTTGTGACAGAACAAAATCAAACATCCCTCCCAGACATTTTTTTGGGGGTGGTGAACTGTATTTTGCTCGTGTCCTGCAGTCTCCTGTCACTTCTGTGCCTTGCTAAGTCACTTCTAATTCCAGAGGTGCCTCCAGCATCAAATGTCCACAGAACCAGCCACAGCCCAGAAGTTCCAGAACTGTTCCCAAGGCAGCTGTTAATCCTGCACTGTTTAGCAGCCATTGATTCATGCCAAGAGGAGCAGGGATCCTGCCTGGTCACCTCCAGGAAGGGGCTGCTTCTGCCTTCCACTGCTGCCAAAATGAAGGGACAGCTTTATGGGAAAAGCCTCCTCCTCCAACACACAGAAATCCCGATCCCACCTCGGGAAGGAGCAGCTCCAGGTGAGGAGGGAGCAGCTCTGCCAGGCTGAGGTCAGCTTTTACCACCAAATGGAAAATCAGGAGCACATACTCAGAAAAATCATCCAAGCCAGCATTTGGCACCATTTCCAAGGGCAGGGTGAGCCTGCCTTGCAGCTTTTATCCCACGGGAGAGGAAAATGTTCCAATGGGACTGGGCACAGCACCCTGGGCCAGGAGAGGATGAGGATCCTGAGTATCTCTCACACATTATTTCAGTTTTGTAACTCCAGAAAGCAGCAAAGCTTTCCTGCTCTGACACTCAGCAGGAATTCAGGAAGGTTTAATGCCACACTTGCCAAAAGCCAGAGTGTTTCAGACACACCAACTGCACACAAGGTGTACTCGGTATTTCATGGGTCAGAGCTGGAAACCAGCTGCAGAAATTGCACCAAAATAGCAGCAAAAAGGGGAGATTACTGCTGAGGATCCATGTAGTTTATATTTCAGGGACTTGCTCATGCAGGACTAAGAGCTGAAGTAGTCCACAGCTCTCTCCAGGGAGAGCAGTACTGTGGGTTTAAGGAGGAGGCACCACAGCCTTGCTCAGCATTTCTGAGCTTCCCTTTGCTCAGCCACCCAAACTGCCCTTGCTCCAAGGTGCAGATCTGCTCTCAGCCCCAACCACCAAAGAGCTCCTGAGCAGCTTCACAGTAACCACTACATTCCTTAACTACAACATTTTCTTTTTCCAAAAAAAAAAAGGCCCCATTAATCCAAGATTACCCCGGTGCCAACCCACCCCGAAACGAGAACGCTCGATAACAACAGCTGGGGTGCAGCTAGAAAAGATAAAATGCACAATATAATCAGCCTTACCCTATTTGCAGTGATGGGACTGAAGTGGAAGAAGATTAAAGAGCTCAGGCCTCCGAGGGAGCCACGAGCAGAGGCAGGATTAGGGAAGTTTCCTATCCCCAGGTTGGATTTAGCCTGGGTCACACGACCTCGCAAAGCCACCCCAGCACACGACTCTTCCCCACGTTTTGTAAGCAGGATAAACCCCCATCAAATCCCTTCTTACAAGCAGAACCCCAGGGCTGGAGGAGGAATAAAAGGTGGGCAAGGGAAGCTGAAAAGGGACAGCCTGGTGGGAGGGGAGCAGCTCTCCAGGCCCAGCCCCACCTTGCTGCGGGTGCTGCTGCGGAGCCGCTCCGATGGGAATGGGATCCAGCAGCTCCCAGACCTCCTGCAGCCCTGCAGATGGAGATGGCTGCAGCCCTGCAGATGGAGATGGCTGCAGCCCTGCAGATGGAGATGGCTGCAGCCCTGCAGATGGAGATGGCTGCAGCCCTGCAGAGCTCATCCCTGCTCTTTGTGCTGTCAGCCCAGGAGCTGATCCCGGGCTCATCCCGACAGCTCCAAGGCAAATATTTCAATATTTACCCAAGTGATGGAAGGCAGAGATTAACTCCCACTGTGAAGCCAAACCATGAACCCCACCTAGCAAAAAGGTGATGGTAAAGGGTTTAGACTATGCTTCAATTTTTGTGTCTTTTACAGTGCTGCAGTTTATTTTCCTTTGGCAAGCCTCTCATTGAAATTCCCTACATTTAATCTGAAGGATCCCTGCAAAGACTCCCCACGAGCTACTGGAATAAGCAAGGGAATAAACATGATGTTTTAAGCACTGAAGGAGGGGGGGAAAGGCATCTTTTAAAGGTGCAGTGAAGTTCCAGAGAGACAAATTAAAGGCAAATTAGGGACTATAAGTGCAGGATAAGAGCAGGGCTCTGGATGAGGAGCAGTGAGGGTCAGCTAGCCCTTGTCTGCAGCAGAGTGTCTCTCTCCTACCTGCCTCAAACCCTCCTGAAAACACGAGTTTAAAAAGGCTGCCTCATTATGTGCCCAGAAACATCCCAGTTCCACAGAAACACGGTTCAGAGAAATGACAAGTCAATTGAGTGTGAAGGCTGACGAGCTCAAAGGATGGGCAGAGAAAAGGGTTCACATTTTCCAGGAGGTCCCAGCCTGCACAGTTCTGCAGCACCTCCCCAGACAAGGTGCTTTAAGTGCACTAACAACACATTAAATCCAAGTTACAAGCTCCAAAGTTCATGGCTTGAATATTTTAAGTCCCAGCTACTTGCTCAGGAAATTCAAGCCTTGGAGGACCCCATTAATTCACCCAGCTGTCAGATCCTTGCTAGAACAACTCCTGAGCACGCTGCAAAACAGAAAGGGCTTGTATTCCCAGTTTTTAAACCTCTCTAAGCCTCCCTGTTAAGCTTTTAATAGACTTCTCGACATATGTATGACTTCATTATAATCCTTTTAATTTCCTATTCAATGAGCCAAGCCAGGGCCATCCCACCTCTGAAGCAAAGGCTGAAACAAAAAAAGAAAAGCCAATCAGCAGGTTGGTGGGGAAACACCATCTGAGAGAGAGCCAGCACGAAAACAGCATTTTGTAGGCACAAAAGGTCCCTGCTTTTCCTTGGAGCTGCCAGGGCATTCCCAGGGCTGCAGCAGCTCCAACACTCAGTGTCCTATGGGGCAGCCCTGTGGGGACACACGGTGACACTGGGACAGCACAGTGCTGGCTTCCTGAGACACCTGCACGTCACCCCCAGCTTCTCCACCCCTCATCCCAGAGCTGTTTCTCCACATCCTGACATCCTGAGACACCTGCACCCTCAGCCCCAGCTTCTCCACCCCTCATCCCAGAGCTGTTTCTCCACATCCTGACACCACAGATGCCAGAATTCCAGGATGGTTTGGGCTGGAAAGGACCTTGAGCTCGTCCAGTGCCACCCCTGCCATGGCAGGGACACCTCCCACTGCCCCAGGCTGCTCCCAGCCCTGTCCAGCCTGGCCTTGGGCACTGCCAGGGATCCAGGGGCAGCCACAGCTGCTCTGTCTGTTATTCCCAGTGTTCATCAGCACTTCAACACCTGGGAAATGTCTTTATGCTCTTTGAAAGCCTCAGGAGTAGCTCAGGAGCTGAGATTGTGCAGCTGCTCAGCTCCTGAGCTGTAGGAAGCCACAAATTCCTCATCTGAAAGAGCAGCAGGACCTGCAGAAAAAACCCCTCATCCCCACTCCCCCTCCAGGAGCTGGGGAAGCTCCAATTCCCTGCAAGGGCCTCTGTCCCCCCCAGCTGTCACATCCCCTTCCCCACTCACCTTCCCCCCAAAACAACCACCCCAAAGCTCAGGGAGACTCACACAAACCTCTGAGTCACGGAGGAACTCAGCAAAGCTGCTGAATTATTCACTTGGCTGCTGTTTTTAGACTGGAGCCACAGGAAATGTGAACTCCCCAGCAGTGAGCATGGCTGGATGCAGCCCCTCTGAGGAGCCTGACAAGCTCTGCCTGAAGCCCAGGAAGGATTAAAGCCTCTGTACATAAGAACTTGCACCAAGAGGGAAATACACAGGCAGGTAAAAGAGGAAAGCCAGTAGGAAAGTTCTAATTAGAAGAACACACCTGTAGCTGTACTATTTACAAAATGCTACACAGAAGAAACAGGTTTTGGGATGGTTTTGTTGGGTTTTTTGTTTGGGCTGGGGTGATTTTTTAATGTTTTTCTCCCACAAATCTTTGTCCTCAGGGCTCTCCATCCCTTCATTCCCAGCCTGGATTTGTGCTTGGGATTGTCCCAGCCCAGGTGCAGAACTCTGCCCCTGGCCTGAGGCTGGCACAGTTCCACCTCTCCAGGCTGGCCTGATGCCTTAAGTTCTAGATTCCATATTTTCCAGATTCTGTGTATATTATTACATACATATATATTTATTATTATTATTATACTCTGAACTCATATAAAGTGTTAGTAAGTTCTCCTCACAGTTTAATTAGACAAAACAATCCTTTTCCAGCCCCAGGACCAAGGACACCATTGCAGCTTCAGGGCTAAAAAGTGCAAACAGTGAATTGAGGAGAGGGAGGATGGGACTGCAGAACCTGGAGCTGTAATTCAATAATTAACCCCAATATGGAAATGGACCAACACTTACAAAAATATGACAATTGGTGACCCGGAGTCCATCTTGGCTGCAGCCTCAGCCAGGCTCTTGCACTGCCCAAGGTGCATCCTTTGAAGGCCTTTTAACAAATCCCTACTTTATTCTTTAGCACAGTCCAGCCTGTGTTCCAGGGAGCCTCCTTAGGCAGCAGCCGGGTCCCTGTGGGTGCCCCATCCCCTCCCTGCTCACTGACAGCTCAGTGGCACCAGCAGGGTGCCCAGGGAGGCTGGACAGTGCTGGTGCCACCCCTGAGTCCCTCTTGTCACTGCTCTGCACTGACACCGAGCCCGTGACCACTGAGTGTGACCATCCACCCACCGAGTGCTCCACCCAGCAAGTCCCTGTCCCCCGGCTTGGGGACAAGGATGTGGTGTGGGACAGAGTGGAACACGGCACAACATCCCTGCCTTTGAGGGACAACCTCTGCCAGGCGGCCAAGGATTCCAGCTGCAGCCACATCCCCTTTTCCAGCAGTGCCTCCAGAGCAGCAGAGCCAGCCCATGCCCTGCAGGAATCAGCCCTGGCTGGCAGCAGGACCCCAGAGACTCCCAGCACAGAACAACTCGGCAGGGGTTAGTTTGAGATGTTTATTAGGGACATTTATTGCACAGCAGTTACAGCTTCACATCGTACAGAGCATCGGAGTTCACAACTCAGCAGCAGCAGAGACAACACAAGGTGTGCAAGCACAGGGTGTTAGAGCACAGCACAGGTACAGCAGCAGCTCCAGGGCTGCAGGAGAGCAGGAGATCTGAGCACAGACCACTCCTGTGCCCCCCTGCTCCTGGGGCTGCACAGGACACCCTCACCCAGCTCCCACAGGGATGTTTCCAGGAGGGACAGAAGCTCCAGCACTCTGCACAGACCCCCCATTCCCTACATCCCCTGGGATCCCACCCCAGCACACCCAGAGCTCGGGGTCAGTGCTGCAGGAGCATCACCCAGCCCCCCGTGCCCAGAGCCCCCCGTGCCCAGAGCCCCCTGCACATCAGTGACCCCACGGCACTACAAACGAGTGGGAGGGAGCATGGGGTGGCAGGGGATGGGTGATCCATGTTTGCAGCAGGGACAGCCAAACCCTGGGCTGGAGGAGCTGCCCCTGCCCTGCTGGGCCCCCCCAGCCCCATCCCACCCACGGGGGTCCCAGGATGGGCAGCTGCTCCCAAACTCCTCTGCCCACCTCACTCTGCCTACAAGTCCCACTAGCCAAGACCTTAAAGCATTGCTGCCTTTCATTAAAGTAAAATATCTGTGGGAGTGGGCAAAGTCTCATATTCAGGTACCTGAAACCTTCCATAATTCAATCTGAAAATATTCCATATTTCCATATTTCAACCTGAAATTTCCTTCCTTACTTCTACGGTTTTTGGGAAGGAGTATGACACCAAGGCCACTCCCTAAGGCAGGAATTTGGGGCTGGCTGCTTTCCTTCATAATCCCAGTTATGACAAGGGCTGGGACCCCAAAATGCACCCCTCAGACACCAGTCTTATTTATTCTCTACTTCTAGGGCACAAGAGTTAAGCCCACTTAAGGCAAAAGGTGAAAAAGAACAATTGAGGAGCCAAGTTAAACTGATGCTGCCTTGCTTCAAAATCACATTAAAAAAAAAAAAAAAAAAAAAAGCTATGAAAAGGTCTTTGAAAAGAAAGCCAAGAAGGCAAGAATCTCCTTTTATGGCCACAGACACCAAAAAGCCAAAGAAAGCAGATGAAGGACTCACAGGTTGGAACTGATCTCAGGTCTTTCCCAACTTGAATGATGCTGTGAAATTCATGGGGTGGGAAGAAGAGCCCAGTTTGGGGCACTGGGAGCCTCCAGGACCTGGGGTTTGCCCAGAAACAACAACTGTGCACCAGGGAGGAGAAACCCCTAAGGGAGGGGGCACAGAGGGGTAAACTGGCACCAAAATGGGGAGAGAAGTGCCAGGTCCTGCCCCAGAGCAGCGGCCAGGCCGTGACTCAGCGCTGGCACTGCCACCCCGCCGGGAGCACGCGAGGTCTCACTGGGGACAAACAGCAGAGCAAGGCTGGGGGAGATGCCCAAAGCTGCTCTGCTGGCTCTGGCACAGCCCTGGCACTGCCCATTCCAGCTGGGAGAGCCCTCAGTCCTGCCTGCAGCAGGTGGGTGCCACGGGGCAGCTGCCCTCGCCACAAGGAAATGCCATTTTTGGGCAGGTGAAGCTCTTAGCTCTTGTTTTGGGCAGCTCAGCCTCAACCTGCATTTGGGTTCAGTTAAATCCCTTCCATCAGGTGCTGCAGGCCAAGTACCCTGAGCTGCAGCAGAGGATTCTCCTCACCCAACACATCCCTCGCCTCCCAAGCCAGGCTGAGCCTGCCCCAGGTTAAACCCTGCTTTCTCTCTCTAATTATCTCCTCCTTTCATGATTTGTTTCATCTATTAATGGAAAAAATGAGCACTTTTGTCTTTGGAAAGCTTTGCACCTCTGTGGGGCAGTGGGAATCCCACTGGACAGGCTCCTGTAGCTCTGGTTTAGGTTAAACCAGGCCTGCTCCTTCTGGTGCTGCTGGAATCTGTCAGGATTATTTCAGCACAATATCACATCTCAGTGCTTCTGTTTCCCCCAGTGTTAGCAGGGACAGATTATTTCTCATGGCAGGTAAAATTCCATCCAAGGCTGTCATTCCCCACAGGAAGCCAGAGGTGTGAAGTTAAAAAAGGCAATTTCCTTCCTTACTTCCAGGGTTTTTGGGAAGGAGTGTGACAGCAAAGCCACTCCCTAAGGCAGGAATTTGGGGCTGGCTGCTTTCCTTCATACTCCCCAGTTATGGCAAGGCTTGGACCCCAAAATGCACCCCTCAGACACCAGAGCTGATCCACCTGTACCTCAGGACAATTGGTTTTTCCTGATCTGTTTCTCAAGTCTACCAAGTGCTGAAATGATGTGAACCACCCAAGAAAACAACACTGTTACAGACCAGAACCCCATGGGAGAGGGTTTCGAAGCAGCAAGGAGCAAGGCAGGTATCTAAAAGGCTGTGGTGAGTGTGGGGAGAAGGGAAGGGAGCTGCAGTCATGGTGGACCCATCCACTATGGAAGCACAAGTGGAAATTTCAAACCTTCTCTTATCGAGCACCATGAAAAACGGAGAGAAATTAAATTTAAAGGTGATCAAAGCAAAAATGGAGCTGTGGTCGTGATTTCAAAGCAGAGGCACAGTGCAGTTCCAAACCAGGGTGCACTTTTGTGCTTACACAGAGAGAGGAAGGTTTCAACAAGCACTGCAGAGCACAGGGAGGAGGAGCAGGATGGAGCCACCCTTTGGTTCTTCTACAGCCAAGTCCCAGGAGGTAAAGCAAGAGCTCTGTAAAATGCTGCAGATTTTAGAAGTGTAATGGCAGGTAGAAAAGGACACTGGTCTCGTGTCAGTGGCAGCCCCAGTGTTAGGAGACAGTCTAGGCTTCTAGGAGGAGAAAATAGAAGAGAGGAAAAGAAGTAGGAGAGGGAAAGGGGATGGGGAAGGGGGCAAGAAAGCGCAAGTGATTAGTAAACATCACCATGGAGCAGCACTGCTCAACACCAACACCCGTCAGGGCAGCCAGGAGATCTGCCACAAGCCAGGTCACACACACACAGCTCTGCTCCCAGGGGGCTGCAGGGCTGTCCTTGTCACCACACAGAGCCACCAGGGCAGGGCCGGGCCACCAGCAGCGACAGGCACGGGGAGCACACCTCAGGAGCACAGTCTGCACTGAACACTGAGCATTTCTGGGAGCCACAGAGCTGCCAGCAGGCTGGCTGCAGGGAAGGCCCAGCCAGGGGAAGTATGAGCATCCAGCAGGAACACTTCCCCAGGGAGCTTCTCACCTGCCAGCAAGAGCATGGACAGCATCTTGGGCAAGAGGCACGTCCAGATCAACCATCTGACCATCCTTGATGGATTTCTTTCCAGAAATTTGGTTGGGTTTTATTTTTAAATATGTATTTCCTTTGAACTCTAGGCAAATATCCTGCAATGAAGAGTTGCAAATTGCAAATCACTACACGTGAATTCTTGGTTCCAATGCTGGTTTGACTAAGCCCTCCCTGACCTTGGCGTGGTGGAGGTGAGCAGTGAGCTGCCTGCCCCAGCAGGGATTCCAGAGCACCACTGAATCCCCTGCTCCCTGTTCCCAGCCCTGCATCCCTGGGAATGCTGCTCCAGCCTCTCCATTTCTCCTTTTAAGGAAGAGCAGGATCAGCAGCAGGATTCCAGGGATGTGCCCAGCACCCAGAGCTCCCCTCTGCAGTTCCCAAAACCAAACCCCACAGGGCCACGTTGTGCTCTGCCCTGCCCAGCACCGAGCCCTTGGCAGGGTCTCCCTGCCCAAAGCCTGGCCTAAGCACAGCCCTGAGCAGGGCTTTGAGCACAGCCCTGCCAAGAGAAAAGAATCCAGAGCTGGATGGAGGATCTGGCCCGAGCTGGAGAGGTTTGGGTCCCTGCCAGCTGCTGCACTCAGGGTGCCTGGGAGTGCCAAGGAGTGCCAGGAGCTGGGGCCTGGCTGATGCCAGCTCTGCAGACACACCCCACAGGGCTGCAGAGATGCTGCATGTAATAAAACAAGGTCAATCATCACCCTGTTTGATGTGATGAGTGAAGGAAACCATCCAGCAGTGCTTCCTGAGCTCCAGCCCAGAGAGATCCACATTTGGATGTGCAAACAGCTGAACTATCCCTTTTCCTTGGAGTGCTTCAAAACCAACTTCAACCCAGCTCTGCTTTTAAAAGCTTTTAACCAGCTTTTAACACTGTTTTTTGTAGCAGAAAGCTGGTTTGCCTGAGCACCACCTGCCTCAGTCCTCTCCTGGCTGCTCCTGGGATTCCACATCCCTAAGAATCATTCCAGCTTCCAGACACAGGGAATGGATCCTGCTGAGAACAAAGCCCCAGCAGCAGAGGTGGTTCAGGGATGCAGGCTTGGGGCAGCAGCACCTCTGCAGTGTGGGAGCCATTGGCCAGCTCTGCACCCTGCAGTGCCTGCTGGAAATTCAGCATTCCTCCCTCCTCTGCCACGGAGAGCCAGGACATGGCAGGCACTGCACAAGGAAGGGGGCAGGGACAGAGGCCATGAAGGAATCGTGTCATGCAGAGCTTGTGTTACTCTGGCAAACCTAATTAAGTTGATGGCCACAGCTCCTCATCCTGACACCCTGCTCTGCCACTTTGATGTCGCTTTTAGACAGACTTGAACAAGAGAAGAAAAAAAATCAACTCTACCCCACAAAGAGGGAACATATTAATAAATTAAAAAGCTCCAGACACATAAAAGTATCTTTGATCAAAGTTGTTAACATTTAGTGTGAAGAGTTAAACCTCCACAAAGCAAGAGTGAGGCAAATAACAAAGAATTTTTTAAACAGAAGGCAGAAGCTCAATACAAAAATCCTGATGCCTTTAATTATTCAGACCATAAATCTGATTGCATTTCTATCTCCTTTAGTTAGAAGTATTAAACAAGAGGGAGGGAATATCCTTAGGAGGGTTCAGAAGTATTCTTAATTTCAGTTTATACTGAATTACAGAAGATGCACAACTTCCTTTTGACCAGCTTTCCAATGGCAAATGAAGCACAAAGATCAATTCTTCTATTCCCATCCTCACTAAGGACATGAAACTCACTCACACTAAACCAAACTCTAAAATCCTGAAGGTAATTATAGCAAAGAGGTGCTTTAATTCAGCCCCATCTCCCAAATGCTCATCATTATTTCCTGAACTGGTTTTTAGCTCGGGGCTGCTCCTCTGGATGAGGAGGGATAACTCTGGGAGCACCCAGCCAGCCTCACAAAGATCTGGAGCTGGGATCATCCCCAGGGAGACCAAGGGAAGTCCTCACCCAGGCCAGGATGACAGCTGACTCTGGAATATTCCATCCCAAGAAAACAGAGGCCCCCACAAGCAGAGCCCTTGTGACAGAAGGGAACAGATGGAGTTTGGTGGGAACCCCAATTCCCAGGCAGAGAGGCTCAGGGGAAGGGAAGCAGAGCTCACTATCGACTGTGACTAAAACAGGACCAGCCCAGCACCTCAGCCTGACTGGAAGGGCCCTTTCTTTTCCAGGTTCTGCACAAGCCTGAAACGTTCATCCAGTTCCATCACAAGCTCCTGGCAGTCAGAACTACCCTGGTGCCATGGAGAAAGGTCCCAAAGGCTCGGTGTCACCTGTGCCACTGCTGGAGCAGGTGTGGGGACGTGCCCATGGAGGGGAGGCTTGGGCTGGAGGACACTGCTGGGTCATGGCAGAGAGTAACAACTGCTCCAAAGGATGGGGATGTGGGAAAGCACCACTGTGGGTCACAGGGGAAGTCACAGGACAGGGGACAGTTCAGCTGTGGGTATTATGGCTCTCCAAAGCCATTTTTATCAGCTGCCTTGCCCACGGATAGAGAACAGCACACCTTCAGAACAAGGTTCTACCCAAAGGAGCCTTTTAAACCCCAAAGAAACTGAAGCTCTGTTTTGTTGCCCATTGTTTGAGAGCTCTTTAAAGCCCAGGCCAGCCCCTGGGAGGAGTGAGGAGTGCAGAGCAGAGGATGTGGCCCAGGGCAGAGCTGCAGCACGTACCTGTGTGGTGGTCCTGCAGCCCGTGGTCACCGTTCTCCACCACCATCGTCCCCGAGGCTGAGGAATCTGCAAGGGACCAGCACAGGGGTTAACACTGCATGGAACTCATCCCAACCCAGACCCTGCAAACACCTCTGTGCAACTGCACAATCACTGAGGCTGGAAAAGAGCTCCAAGACAGAGCCCAAGCTGTGATGGATGCCCACCTTGTCACCTGGTGGTGATCCTAAAACCAGCAGAAGAAATTATCAATTCCAGCCCTGAGCACTCACAGAATCCCAGGATCACTGAGGTTGGAAAAGCCCTCTGGGATCATCACACCCAGTTTGTGCCTGATCCCCTCCTTGTCCCCAGCCCAGAGCACTGAGTGCCACCTCCAGGAATTCCTCCAGGGATGGACACTCCAAACCTCCCTGGGCAGCCCCTGCCAAGGCCTGGGGAGAAATTTCCATGCAGAAATTCCTCCTGAAACACCAAATATTGCTAAAGCAGGGATCGGGGGAGGTTTAGAGGAGGGTGGTCAGGGTGGGACATCACCAATTCCAAAAACCAGCACAGAAAATCCTTATCACTGTGAGACTGAGTCCACCTTGTTCTGACAATGACAGCCGAAATTTTAACCAGCACCAGGATTTACAGACTGAACTTGGGAAACTTGGCAGCAGTGGACAAGAGGAACAGTTGGCAGCTGCAGGAGGGTCCATTTAGATGATATAAAAGTAGTTTTATACAATGAGGGTGGGCAGGCCCTGGCACAGGTGCCAGAGCAGCTGTGCTGCCCCTGGATCCCTGGCAGTGCCCAAGGCCAGAGCTTGGAGCAGCCTAGGACAGTGGGAGGTGTCCCTGCCATGGCAGGGTGGCACTGGATGATCCTTACAGCTCCCTCCACCCCAAACCACTCTGGGTTCTGTGACTTTATGACCCTGAGCAGTTTTAGGGAAGCAGAACAAGCAGCACCAGCTGTCCCTGGGCCCTCAGCTCTGCTGACAGTCAGGAAATGCTCATTTTATAAATAATAAAGGTTTCTCCCGAAGAGACACACACTCAGTCACCTGGAGCTGCTGCTGGCCCCTCCTGAGCCCCAGTTTTGTAACAGCAGGGCTGAAGCCAGCCCTCAGCAAAGCAAAAGGAAAAGTATTTCCAGCTCCACCCCTGGCTCATCCTGGCGTTCTGCAAAAATTCCCCATGGATTGCCAGTTTAAGGACAAACACACAGCTCCATCCTCCTGGAGGAGCTGGGAGCAGCACAGGGATCCCTGGACCTGCTCCTCAGCAGCTCCACAGCCCAGCTGGGCACTGGAACAGGGCAATGGCCTGAAACTGGGAGAGGTCCTGGATCCCCTGAAATCAGAGTCAGTGTGGTTTAAACAACACTGAGTCACAGCTGCCCAAAGGCACAGGAGGAGTACCAGGGTCCTGCAGTGAGACCCCTGAGGAATTCCATGGAATTCCATGCAGGAGCTGCTGAACCCCCTGGGAGCTCAGCCCAGCTGCAGGAGCCACACATTTTCTTAAGCCCTGTAGAATCATGGAACCTCCTGAGTGGGAAGGAAGCCACAAGGACCATCCAAGTCCAGCTCCTGGCCCTGCAGAGGAAGCCCCAGGACTGCCCCCATGATCACATCCTGCTTCCCTTTCTCTCTGAGCTGCTCCTTACACCTTGCACAGGCAATTGAGCTGCTGGGATGTTCCATAGTGTGGAGGAAGTTCTCCATGGAAAGGGTGCTCAGGCCTTGGAAGGGACTCCCAGGGAGGTTTGGAGTGCCCATCCCTGGAGGTGTCCCAGGAGGGGCTGGAGGTGGCACTCAGTGCCCACAAGGTGGGCACTGGGCACAGGCTGGAATTTCCCAAACTGGGCTGGGAGGGCTTTTCCAGCCTCAGTGACTCTGGTGGCACCACCATTACTGATGTATTAAACCCAGACTCAACCTGACCACAAATGTGGCTGAACCCCTCCAGAGTGGGTTCCCACAGGAGCAGAAGGATCAGAAATGTCATGGCTCTCCCTGGGAAGGACACAGAGCAGGTAAAATGGTTCCCTTTACAGATTCAGCTTTTTGGGAAGACAAGCTTTCAGAAAAATCAGGTCAAATCACACCAACCCCAGCCAGCACGAGTGGTAGTTATTTTTAAGTCTCTGAAGGTCAGTGCCTTTGGAGCAAATCAATCTGAGTTTGGTTTGCTGAAGCCCCAGTGTGAAAGCACCCAGCAACCTGCCCAGGGCCAGGGCTCCTCCCCTCATATTCTAAATTGCATAAACCCAAAACCATGTCAAGATGTTGTAACTACCTAATCCTCATCAGAATCACAAGATAGTATTTGCATCTGGCTCGTGGATCAAAGGATTGTTTTTATATAAACAAATTTCAGGCAGCGCTGGCTAAACCGATAATCTGGAGCAAATGGGCAGTGCCAGCAGCAGCCCCTAATCCCAGGGGAGCACAGGGGACAGCACCACGGCCAGCACGTCCCCAGCAGCACTGCAGCCTGCTCAGGCACACCTGGGGGCTCTGGGGGTCAGCACTGCAGCTTTTATCACTCGCTGTCAGAGAGGAAAACGTGAGTGAAAACACTGAGGGACGGAGTGTGAGCCTGCTGGTGACTCTGAAACAAGGAGTGCAATCTCCTTCCATTCATTCCTTTAAATATTCTGCCTCAAAAGCACCTGCAGAGCTGCCCCAGAGCCAGCAGCACAGGGACCTGGAGCTGCTGCAGGGCTGGAGCCAGGCTGCATCCCTGTGAATGTGGCACCTGGGGACAAGGTCAGTCATGGCCTTGGCACTACTGGGGATGGTTGGACTCCATGGTCTCTGAGGGCTTTTCCAACCTCAGCAATTCCCTGATTCTGTGGATAAAACCCAAGAGGAACCAGTGGTGCCCAGGGTCACCAGGCCCCCACCACTGCCCAGGCTGTCCCCAGCAGAGACTGGCAGCTCCTGGCCATCTCTCCCAGCTCATACTGGGCAGGATGCTCTGTACTGTGGGATATCCCTCTGGCCAGGTGGGATCAGCTCTCCTGGCCATGCCTCCCACCTTCCTGGCACCTGCTCCCTGGCTGAGCCTGGCAAATCAAAACCTCCTTGATCCAGAGCAGGCAGGGCTCAGGAACATCCAACCCACCCGTGTGTTATCAACACCATTCTCACACCCAGCTCCCAACACAGCACTGCCCCAGCCAATGGAGAAAATCAACTCCATCCCAGCCCAGAGCAGGACAAGCCCCTCCAAAAATTCCTGTATTCAGGGTTAAAACTCACCAAGGAGTCTGTGAGCAGTGCAAGAATGCAGAACACAGGGACTGAGCACGAGGCCACGTCCCAGCACAGGGCTGCCCTTTGCTCTGTGCTCAGTTCCTCACCACAAACACAATTCCTGATTTCAGGTCCCTTCCAACCCAAACCAGTCTGGGGTTCTGTGATGGAACAACTGGGGGGCAGGAATGGGTCTGGACAGACTTTGAGAGGGAAAAGGTTTAATGTCTCATCTGAGACAAAAATGCAAATATCATCATCTGCTGCTCTGTCTTTGATCCCTCTGGGCTGTGTGGAACGTTCTCCATCCCCCCTTTCATACGTGACCAAGTGTCTGAACTGCCTTTGGCTAAAGCAAATCCTGCTGCAAGAAAGGCACGTATTCCCCAGGTGGGAAGGGAGGGAAAAGCAAAAGGAACCGAGGTCTGGCCTGGGGTTTCAGCTCTGCAGCTGTGGGACAGAGGGCAGCAGTGCCAGCAGAGCCACCTCGTGGTGACACCTCGCTCCCAGAGCCACCGCTGGGATTGATTCAAGCAAAGCAAGCCCGTCCCTCCTGGCAGGCAGGGTCTGAGTCCTGCAGGGTTCAATCCCATGGGAATGGGGCCCCCGGAGCCCCCCCAGCCCCTGGGGAGGGGCAATAAACCCCGGGGCTCAAGGACAGCTTAACACATGAAATAAAATAATGGAATTATAATAGTCAAAAGAGAGAGGGGAATTGCTCAGCCTGGAGAAAAGGGGGCTCAGGGGGGACCTTGTGGCTCTGCACAGCTCCTGCCAGGAGGGGACAGCCGGGGGGTCGGGCTGTGCTCCAGGGAACAGGGACAGGAGCAGAGGGAACGGCCTCAGGCTGGGCCAGGGCAGCTCAGGGTGGAAATTGGGAAAATTCCTTGCTGGAAGGGGCTGTCCAGATGTGGCACAGCTGCCCAGGACATAGTGCAGTCCCCATCCCCGCAGGGATTTAACATCCCTGTGAATGTGGCACCTGGGGACAAGGTCAGTCATGGCCTTGGCACTACTGGGGATGGTTGGACTCCATGGTCTCTGAGGGCTTTTCCAACCTCAGCAATTCCCTGATTCTGTGGATAAAACCCAAGAGGAACCAGTGGTGCCCAGGGTCACCAGGCCCCCACCACTGCCCAGGCTGTCCCCAGCAGAGACTGGCAGCTCCTGGCCATCTCTCCCAGCTCATACTGGGCAGGATGCTCTGTACTGTGGGATATCCCTCTGGCCAGGTGGGATCAGCTCTCCTGGCCATGCCTCCCACCTTCCTGGCACCTGCTCCCTGGCTGAGCCTGGCAAATCAAAACCTCCTTGATCCAGAGCAGGCAGGGCTCAGGAACATCCAACCCACCCGTGTGTTATCAACACCATTCTCACACCCAGCTCCCAACACAGCACTGCCCCAGCCAATGGAGAAAATCAACTCCATCCCAGCCCAGAGCAGGACAAGCCCCTCCAAAAATTCCTGTATTCAGGGTTAAAACTCACCAAGGAGTCTGTGAGCAGTGCAAGAATGCAGAACACAGGGACTGAGCACGAGGCCACGTCCCAGCACAGGGCTGCCCTTTGCTCTGTGCTCAGTTCCTCACCACAAACACAATTCCTCACCACAAACACAATTCCCCACCAGAAACCATCAGCGCAGAGAAAATCCTGCTCCTCACCTCAACTGAAACATTCCCCTGGAGCTCTGCTGCACATCATTAAACCCCAGTGTTTTCCTTTCCCTTGGAACTGCTCCCACCTGAAATCCTTTCCTTCACCCCATCACATCAGCACCTGAATGAAACTGCTGCTGCAGCCTCCAGCACTTTCCTGGAAGCTCCAGAGGATCCTGAGAGCCTTGGAATTGCTAAGGAAAGCAGGCAGCACACACCCCTTGCTGTTATGTAAGGCCCACGAGGTCATAAGGGGATTATCCCAGAATGTGCCAAATTACCACGTCCAGCCAGGTGTGAGGAAGAGTAAGCCCATTCCTCCCTGGTATTTCAGGAGTTAACATTATTAAAGCTCTGTTCCAGGATAGATTTATAGGTGACCAAATGACTGCTCATCACAGGTCCCTGCTCTTCTCCAGCCCTCTGCACTCACCCAGCCCAGGCTGGGGCCCAGCTCAACATTAAACTCGCCTCATCTGGCTCCTGGGTTTAGGAAAAAAGTAAAAGAAAACCCTGGAGCAGAGCTGGAGCAGCTAAAGCCTGACAGGATGGAGGATTAAACCTCTTCTGACTGGGGAAAGACAATCTCAGGAGCACAGACCATGATGTCAGAACACATTTGTGCCTTTTAACATAAATAAATGAACAAGTGGAGGCTGGAGAGCCTGAGCTCTGCAGGCTGCTCCTCTCCCTCAGGGAAGCCAGGCTGTCTGGAGCCAGGGACATGGAACTCTCTCTGCTATTGCCCAAAAACTTGGTGTTACACTCAAACATGGAACTGCAACACCAAGACCCCCTTAGGACCCTGTAAATCTCACCCAGAGCTCATTTATTCTGGAGCCTCAACAAAGGAAGCTCATTCACTTTACTATCTTTTTAAACAGTTACAAATCTTCAATAAATTTCATGGAAGAAAGAGGTATCTGTTTTTCCCTGCAGTGCTGATATCCCACACTTCTATTCCAACTCCACACCCACAATCCCAGTTCTGTCATTCCATTTTGGAAGCTTCTCCACAGCCCCAGGCCAGTGCAGTGTTCTCTTGGGGGTCAGGGCCTGGCAGCACAGAAATCTGGAATTCTCAGCAGCCAGGGCTCCAACAGGTATCCTCAGCAGTTCAGGGAAAAACAAGTAAGAGAAATGAAGACTTTCCAGGACCAAACCCTGAGCCTGGTCCGTGGTAACTGACCCTGTTTTAGGCTCAGTCCTTCCCTGCTGGTCCAAGGTGGGAGAGCTGAACAGCTCCACTCAGGGCAACTTCTCCATCTCCTCAGCAGGGTCTCGTTTGCCTCTTGCCAAAGATTTAGATCATGCTCCTGACTGCTCTCCAGCTCTCCCAAAAAAGGGAAAAACCTATCTCCAAAGCAAGAGTAAGAAACTGCATCCCCCTCTTGCCACGGAGGAGGAAACGAGTCTGCTCAGGCAGCCCCATGATGGGTGTGCAGAGAGGGGAGAGGAGGGGCTGGAAAAGCCAGGAGACCCCAGAATCCCTGAGTCAGAGGTTGGAAAAGCCCTCCCAGATCCTAGCTGTGCCCAATGTCCAGAGCTCTCAGTGCCACCTCCAGCCCCTCCTGGGACACCTCCAGGGATGGGCACTCCAAAGCTCCCTGGGCAGCTCATGCCAATATTTAATAACCCTTTCCATGAAGGAATTCATCCTGAAATTCTCTTCTTTCCCTCAGTATTTGTGCCTGAGCTCTGCCCACAGGACCCAGCCTTTCTCTCACAGAGTTTTAATTACTGAGCAAAGCCAAAAGGCCTCGTTACCCCCAGCCCAAGGTCCTGGAGTCATGTGGAATACCGAGTTGGGATAGTGATGCCCTAAAAACCAGAAAGCTAAAACTCCAGGTATCAACAGCAATGTGCAGGGATACACAGCTGGCAGGTCACACTGAAGGACCTTGTATCTTACACCAACATTGTGTCATGATTTTAGCACTGAGAAATCCTGGTGCTGAGATGGTTTAGGACCTGCAACTTCTACAACAAGGGATTGCTTTAAAATATCCTCAAATCATACACAAGGTGTTAACAAGTCCTTGTGTTTCTCTGCTTCTGCACACAAAAATAGAAATTAAATAAATAATACACACGTTCCAAGTTTTATAATAATCCCTTTGCCCACTGCCATCCCTCCTGCTCCTTTGGTGCCATTTAATAACTGTGTCAACATGGAAAATTCAAGGTTACATTTTCTGTATTACAAGGCACCTAATGCACTGGTAATCAAAGCAAATAAATGCCTTGAACAGAGCAGAATTCCCCATGCTGTGGTCCTGGAGGTTCTGTTTATTCTGAGGAATCACATCCCACCTTCCTCAACACTGATGAGCAGCAGCATTAAAGCAAAAAAGAAAAAAGAAACCTTCTTCTGAAGGAAGTCATCAGGTTACCAAAGGTTTTCCTTTTCTACACAGCACAGATCAAGGCCACAAAACAAATGAAATTATTAAGGAACTGCTGGTCCCAGTGACAATTCCCAGCTGGGCAGGGAGGGAAGAGCACACAAGCAAAAGAGCAATAATTTAAATTGTTCACTGGGAAAGAAACTCATTGCATGACCCCCAAATCTCACCCTTTCCCCTTTCACACAAGGAAGCATCTGTTTAAAACTCTCCTTTTCCCAAAGAATTTCTGATAAAGCTCTTAACATGAATAAATTGGTGATGTCCCACCTCAGACTCCTGGGGCAGCTCTGGGGTCCCCAGGTCCAGGACAGACCCTGAGGGGCTGGAGGGTGTCCAGGGAAGGGAATGGAGCTGGGAAGGGGCTGGAACTCCTGAGGGAGCTGGGAAGGGGCTCAGCCTGGAGAAAAGGGGGATCAGGGGGGCCCTTGTGGCTCTGCACAACTCCTGCCAGGAGGGGACAGCCGGGGGGATTTGGGATCTTATCCCAGGGGACAGGGACAGGAGGAGAGGGAACGGCCTCAGGCTGGGCCAGGGCAGGCTCAGGTGGGATATTGGGAATATTCCTCCCTGGAAAAGTCTGTCCAGCCCTGGCCCAGCTGCCCAGGGCAGTGGTGGAGTCCTCATTGCTGCAGGGATGTGACATCCATGTGGATGTGGCACTTGGGGACACGGGTCAGGGCTGGCCTTGGCAGTGCTGGGGGAGCCACTGGGTTTGATGATCTCCAAGATCTTTTCCAACCTTAATGATTCCATAATTCTAAATATCAGCTGGGCTGGAAACTGTTCAGCAGCAACAGCAGAGGCAGTAGCAGTTTTGGTACTGTGCACACAACCAGCAGAGCCAAAAGAAATCCAAGTAAATAAAGCCTTGGGTCAGAACCATGGGAATGAGCTGTTAAACATCTGGGAGATGATGAAGATTCCCATCTTCCAGCTCATCATCCACCTTTCCTGCTCAGATCTGCCATCCCCCAGAGTGGTGGCACCTTGCACAGCTCTGCTACTTTGGGACACTGTGGAGCCTGGCACCACAGAATTTGCTCAGTGCTTCCTCTGAGAGCCCCAAAAGCCCCCAGCCCCAGCTATGAATGTAAAGCACAGCCTCTCCTGTGGCCCAGCAGGGAGAGGCTGCTTCACACAACAAACAGGGCTCGACCTCAGTCTTGGCTTTTGCAATGTGCCAGTTTTGGGACACTCGGGACACTTACGTTCCACGGCAATTCCGTCCACGTGGCCTTTGCTTTTGGGCTCCTGGCCGCCAGGCCTGGCCTCGTCCTCGTCATCCAGCAGGGGCACGTAGTCTGTCTTGTCCACGGTCTCCCCCACCACGTCGTCGAACTTCTCGGCCTCCAGCGAGGCGATGAAGTCCCTCTTCACCTCCGGCTCCACGTCGGGCGGCGGCTCCGTCAGAGCGTCGGCCAGGCTCAGGGTGTGGTCCAGGTCAGCCATGCCTGAGCACCTGCAACCCGCCCAGGGACACAGAGAGAGCTCCATCAGACATCAGGCACGTCCCCTGTGCCTGTACACCAAACGTTTGGGCAGTGCTCAGTGATTCCCAGATGTTTCTAACCCCCCATGTCCCCTGTGCCTTCACACCAAACATCTCTGCAGTGCTCAGTGATTCCCAGATGGTTCTAACCCCCCATGTCCCCTGTGCCTTCACACCAAACATCTCTGCAGTGCTCAGTGATTCCCAGATGGTTCTAAACCCCCCCAATGGATCAGAAATAAACTGGGATCATCTAAAGCGGGTTTAGCCTCGTGGATGTGACATTTCATGGGGTCTCTCATCAGAAGCTTGAATAACAAAGGTAAAGAGTAACCCCCAGCACCTGGGCAGGGCAGCCGTGGTGTGACATTGGCCTGCCCCAGATCTGGAGTTAATGACACCCCTCAGCAGCACAAACACAAATGACGCAAGGGAATTTAGTGCTGGGCTTGACTCCACCCAGCCTCCCCTATGGAGATTAGGATTTTACATAATCTCTGATGTATACTTCAGTGCTGCTCCTGATCCCTCCCAGAGGGTCCTGCAGCACATCCATGTCCTCAGCAAACCTTGCTAATCCCAGCAAACCCCCTCCAGCCTTGGGATTTGGGAGGGAAAGTGACGTTTTAATAATGTTCACATGAAAAAAATACAGCAAAGTGCACACGTAGGCATTATATCCACAGCTATGAACTGGAAACAGAGGAGAAGTAATCACCAGTTATCCCTCCCTGATTTGCATCTCTGTGTTCAATTTATTCCTGGCACCAAGCTGAAAAAATACACCTGAACTGAGTCACCTCCAGCCTTCGGGTTGGCACAACACACGCCCATCACCAATTCTTTACTTTTTCACTTTTCAGCCTTTTGAAGCCATCCTTGGGAACACGAGCCAACAAAAGCTGTTGGAATGTTCAGAAAGGCTTTGTCCCCTGTCCCTCTCCAGCTCTCTGGAGGTCCTGAAGGGGCTCTGAGCTCTCCCTGCATTTCCCCTCGTCCAGGTGAACATTCCCAGCTCTCCCAGCCCAGCTCCAGCCTCTCCTTAGGAAAACCAGGAGCTGCTGACACAGAGCTGCAGCCACAGGAACACAAGGGACACTTGTTGTGCTGGGTCAGGAGGGGTGACCCAAGTGGCCACTGTGCAGCAGCCCAGGCCTGCTGCCTTCCATGGGGAGGCAGAACACAGATCCTCTTGTTCCCAAAAAACAAAGGCTCCTACTCCTTGAACTCCGGGAAATTCTGTGTCAGCACTGCAGGGCCAGCACATACCTACAGGCTCCAGCCTCACATTCCTTGGGAACAATGGGGTCCCACTGACAGTGGTGTTTCTGTCCTTCCTGGCAAGTCTATTATGGAAAATAATTCAGTTCAAGCTCTTCTTTTCCATTCTTTGAACAATGGAAGGTCAGGCTTGCAGGCAGACCACACTCCAGGCAGCAAGTGCAGTTCTTGGTGGTTTAGATAAAGCCCTGAATCACAGCTTGGAAATCCAGAGGTGAAAAGTTTGGAGCTCTTCACCCACCGTGCAGGGTCACAGTTGAATGAATTATGGTCAGTTAAAAAAATTTTAAAAATTATATTTAAATGAAAGAGGTTTATCAAAAAGGTTTCTTTCAGAGTTCCTGACTATTTTAAGACAAACCATCATCCAGATGTGCACACAACTGGCTGCATCACCCTGTAGGGAGCACCAGGCAGGGAAGGCACTTCCAGAAGTTTAATCCCTGCACTGACCAGGCTCCTTCAAGGAACAAATGGGGCTCAGACAAAGTCAGTTGTTCAGGCACATCCTCCTTTGTTTTCAGCTCACAAGTGAACTGATGGCTTTAGGTCACTGAGCCTCCATGTGCAGCGATGAACATTTAATCATCTTCTGAAAATGTCATTTAGCATCAGAAGGAAAAACAATATTTACATTTCCCAACAAGCTGCATCATGAGCACAGAGTGACTGAGGCTGGAAAAGTCCCCTGAGCCCACCCAGCCCAGCCATTCCCCCAGCACTGCCAAGGCCACCACCAACCCATGTCCCCAAGTGCCACATCCACAGGGTTTTTTAATCTCTTCACCGATGGGGACTCCAGCACTGCCCAGGGGAGCTGTGCCAGGGCTGGACAGCCTTTTTGGGGAAGGAATTTTCCCAATATCCAACCTAAACCTCCTCTGGCCCAGCTGGAAGCTGTTTCCCCCTGTCCTGTGGAAGAGCTGCCATAAAATATGTGGCATTTGGGGGGCTTGTGGCACTGACAGTGCTGCTAGCTCAGGTCTGCACAGGAACTAGGACACTGGAGTGATCTACTTTATAGGGAAAAACAATAATGAGGCTATGCAGCCTTATCAGCAGGACATTTCCTTGTCCATATTTAGCTAAATAGGGAGTGTAGAAATGAGGCATAAAAATAAACCAGTGTACCTAAGAAAAGCCATTTAAAATACAGCACTGGTGTTCCAGACACACAGGAGCACCTGGCACAGACTGCAGGGATCCCTCAGCCCAGGTGGCCTCCAAGGACAGCCACAACCCCTGGGAATTGCTCCTTTTCCCTCTCTGGTGTTACAGCAGCCAAATTCCCAGATTCCCGGGGCCTGTCTGCTAACTAAGGCAAGAGGAAAATGAGGATATTGCAGGGATTGTGCCCAAGGGTAGAGAGCAAATCCTGGAGCATATTCATGTGTTGAGCAGCTTAGAGAGACAGATGCTTCCCACCCCATTTCCACCCATACAGAACACAGCTGCCTGGGAAGCATTAAAGAATCCTCAGCAAGATGCACCTCAATCCCCTGCCTCCACAGCTCTGAAATCAGACATCAACAGAGCACAGGGAAGATGAATTCTGGCATCAACCTTGGGATGAAAGAGAACAACTGAGGAGTGACAGAGATTTCTGAAGGCAGAGGTTTAAGAATGCACTGAAATTCCTTCCTGGAAAGGTGGTCGGGCTCTTTATTCAGGGAACTCACTGAACCTCAGGGAGGTTTGGAGTGCCCATCCCTGGAGGTGTCCAGGAACACCTGGAGGTGGCACTCACCTGCCCATCCCTGGAGGTGTCCAGGAACACCTGGAGGTGGCACTCAGAGCTCTGAGCTGGGGACAAGGTGAGGATGGGGCACAGCTGGGACTCTGTGGGCTGGGAGGGCTTTTCCAGCCCCAGGGATTGTGAAACATTCTTCAGCTGCCCAGGTCCTCGTGGCTGTTAATCAGCAGAGGGAGTGGAGCAGCCATGGGTGACACCAACGTGACTGCAGGTTTGTAGCCAGGACAGCCTCCAAGGACAGCCCAGCCCTGCCTGACAAGAGCAAAGGGAGGAGTGTGCTCCAAGGAAAGGTGTGGAAGGAGCAGAACAGCCCTGCCACAGTGACAGCACAGGCAAGGAGAAGGGCTTTCCTGCAGCCACACATTCCAGGAAACCTTCAAATCACCCCAAAGCAAAGCCCTCCTATTCCTTCAACTCACACGTTATTTTTACACAGGAGGTTGTTTAGATCTCCCCTGTTCCAGGCACAGCTGATCTGTTACACCCAGGGTTTGCTCCATCTGCTCTTCTCCAGCTCAGAATCTCTGTGTACTTACTCAGTGAGTAACCTGTTTGTTGGGATGAATAAAATCCATCTCTCCTCAGCTAATCTGAATGATTCAGCAGGGTTATTTTAACCCCTTACCCTCCATCCTGGTGTCTTGCTCCAAAGAGCTCCAGCTCTTCAATGGATTTTAATCCCAGCTGCCCCATCCCTGGAAGTGTCCCAGACTGGTTTGGATTGGGAAGGACATGGAACCCCATCCAGTGCCACCCCTGCCATGGGCAGGGACACCTTCCACTGTCCCAGGGTGCTGCCAGGCCTGTCCAGCCTGGCCTGGGACACTGCCAGGGATGCTGGAGCATCAAAAACTTCTCAGGGTGTCGAGAACTTCTCCTCAGCAACTTCCTCACCCAGGATTTACTTCAAATGACCCCCTGGAACACCTTCCCAGATCCACCACCCCCTGGAAAAGGAGGCAAACCAAAGCCTGCACGAGCCACAGCCTCCAGCTTCCCATCCAGGGAAGAGCAGAATTTCTTTCCTCAACTTTGAGCTTCCATTTTGCAGCTTCCCTGCTTGCTCTGTTGTGTTCCTGCCTCCGGGCACGCACAGGCTTGGAATTTCAAGTTATGATCAGTCTGACCCAGATTTTGTGTTCTTGTCTGAAGTCAGAGAAAGAGGAGGGCTGGCACAGGGATGCTGCCCAAAAACCCAAACCTGAAAGCCTGTAAAGTGTCCAAACACAACCACACTCAGTGTGGAACACTGCCTGACCTCCCTGGCACTCCTGGCACAGGGAATGCTGGTTTTGGTTTTCCCACAGGAGCACACCCAGGGACCTGAAGATGCCTTGTGCAGGCTGACCTAGAACACAGGCTGGACAGAGTTCCAGAATAAAGCAGGGATTGATTCCAAGGATCTCCTCCATGGATGCACCTTGGGCAGCACAAGAGCCCAGCCAGGGCTGCACCCAGGATGAACCCAAATGGTCCCAAAATGCACGAGCGCTCCCGGGGTCTCTCCCTGGGATCAGCTCTGCTCCATGTGCACATTGCAGTTCATTGTCCAATTCCAGCTCAGCCCCTGCACTCCCATCCTGCTTGTTTTTCTCTCTCCAGCCCACGGGGTTTGTGCTCTTGGGCTGAGATTTGGATCATTTGTCCTTGGTGCCCAGCTGGAGCAGGAATTGTTTTGTCTCCCTGCTCTGTGCACAGAGCTCACCATGCCCTGATGTGAAGCTCAGACCCACACACTAAAGCAGCACAGAATCTGAAAATAGAAAAGCTAAACCTGAGGCCTCACTGACAGCCCTGCAGTGACAGTGACACAGCATTCCAGCCCCAGAGCCCTGCCAGGCTCCATCCATGGCTCCATCCTGCTCCAAACAGGCTGGGCCCAGCCCCTGGCCCAGCACCTTCCTGCCAGAGGGAAGAGAAACCTGCTCCCATCCAG